GTTGTTCTTCATCCAGGCTGGGAGGGCAGAGTGGAGCTGTGGGTATCACTGGGACCAAACTGGGACACGATGCAGTGTCTGACCACAGCACGGTCTGGTAACGCCGGATGGCACAGTCCTCCCAGTGACTCACCAGTACGTGTGTGTTTTGCATGTGAGCAAGATCCGGCTTGGCTGTGGTGACGCTGCAAACGCCTCCCCCACCCTTTCCTCCTTCCTTGGCTGCACAGCCTGTCCGTGCTGGCACTGAGCTGGCTCTGCTCCCAGAGCTCATCCCCGCCGCGGTGCCTCATGGGCTGGGAGCAAGGATTGGGGCTTCAGCTGGGTCTGCTCAGGGCTGGGGGAAGGATTTGGGTGCAGAGTGAGCCCGCTGTACTGAGGAGAGAGAGAAGGCTTGCTCAGGACTTGTGTTTTGTGGGAGAAAAGGTGACTTTAGGGAGAAGCCTTCCAGTACCTGAAGGGGCTCCAGGAAGGCTGGGGAGAGACTTTGGCCAAGAGCAGGGAGTGACAGAACAAGGGGTGATGGCTTTAAACTGGCAGAGGGGAGTTGGATATGAGATATGAAGAAATTCTTTGCTGTGAGGGTGGTGAGCCACTGTCCCAGGTTGCCCAGAGAAGCTGGGGCTGCTCCTCCCTGGAAGTGTTGAAGGCCAGGCTGGATGAGGCTCTGAGCAACCTGGTCTAGTGGAAGGTGTCCCTGCTGATGTCAGGGGGGTTGGAACTGGATGAGCTTTAAGATCCCTTCCAACCCAAACCATTCCATGCTGTTGAACTGAAGCTTATGGTGTGGATGGAAGCCCTGGAGCCCAGCTGGCCCATGGGCTGTCTTGCCCTACATGGTGTTTTGGCTGATTTTTGTCTTGAATTATTTTCTTTTGCCTTGGCTGGTTGGCCCATCTGTGATCGACCTGATAAAGCACTGAGAAAACAAGAGCCTGCAGGTGCCTGTGTGCACTGGGGACAAGGTCCTTGTTCCAGCTGGAGGCAAACAAATCCCTGGCAGAGGTGAGTTTAAAGATGCCAGATCTCCCAGCTCTAGTCTGCTTTCAACCCCAGATGAGATGCTGCATGTGCCTGGTGCTGCAGCCCCGATGGCAGCCGGGTGACCCCTGCGTGGTGACTTTGCACGACCGGTGTCCTGTGCAGACAGGGACAAAGGGCAGAGCTGTGTTCAGGCAGCTCCTCGCTGCTCTGCTTTTTGTCAGCGCTGCAGGGGCATCCAAGGTCACTTCCAGCTTCATTCCTTGCTATTTTGGGCCTCTCACTCCAAGAAGGACGTGGAGGTGCTGGAGCGTGTCCAGAGAAGGGCAGCGGAGCTGGGGAAGGGTCTGGAGCACAACTGTGCTGCGTTCCTGGCTGAGGGAACTGGGGGTGTTGAGGCTGGAGAAAAGGAGGCTGAGGGGAGACCTTCTGGCTCTGTCCAAGTCCCTGAAAGGAGGGTGGAGAGAGGTGGGGGTTGGTCTGTTCAACCAAGGAACGAGTGACAGGACAAGAGTAAACGTCCTCAAGTTGCACCAAGGGCAGTTGAGATGGGTTGTGAGGAAGAATTTCTTTGCTGCAAGGGTTCTGAGGCATTGGAAGGGGTTGCCCAGGGCAGTGGTGGAGTCCCCATCCCTGGAGGGATTGAAGAGTCATGTAGACACAGTGCTGAGGGACATGGGTTAGTCGGGGACTTGTCAGTGTTGGCTTCATGGTTGGACTCGATGATCTGAAAGCTCTTTTCCAGTCTGGGCAATTCTGGAATCCTGGTAGGGAAAAATGTTGTGTAAGGTTTGTCCTGAGCTCTGTGTCTCTAGTGGCTTGGACCCCCAAGGCTGCCAGCACCCTGCAGGTGACATCCACATCAGCACATTGTCACCCCACGATTGATCTGATGTGACTTACCAGCAAACTGGTGGTGCTGGGCACTGCTGGAGGCAGGGGTGCTGCACCTCCGTGCAATGTGGTGGTTGTGTATCGCAGGAGGCACATGCCAGCCTGTAAGCTTCAAAAACCAGAAGAAAATCAAGTAAAAATTAGACAAGACGAGGTGTGTTGCCTGGCTACTGAGCTGGGAAGGGTGGCTACCAGCAAGCACTGCTCTGGGGTCTTCCCATATCCCTGCAAACCCCTTTGGCTGCTGGTTGCCCCCAGGATGTCTTGAAGGAGCAGTGGGGTCTCATCTGCTGCTGGTTCCCAGCTGAAGCCCCAAATTTAGGAGAGAGAAATATTTTTTTCCAAGCCTGCAGCCTCAGGGCTTGCAGGTGAAAGTGTGGACATGCAAAGGGAAAGTCAATATTGTCATGTTTGCTTGTTGATCTCGTGATGGTGGAGGGTCAAACCCAGTAACTGTCCCCAGGCCCCCAGGGGAGGCTGTGACAGAGCAAAGGCACCGATCCTGCATCCCTGGTTTTCTGCTGGGTGCTTTCCTCAGCCTGACCCAGCTCTGGCTGCCTGGCTGCAATGCCACCAGCACAGTCACGCTCCTCCATCCCATTTTTGGAGTACTGTGTCCAGTTCTGGGTCCCCCAGTTCAAAAGAGACAGGGAACTTCTGGAGAGAGTCCAGTGGAGGGTACAAAGGTGATTAAGGGGCTGGAGCATCTTTCTTATGAGGAAAGACTGAGAGAGCTGGGACTGTTCAGCCTGGAGAAGAGCAGACTGAGAGGGGACCTGATCAATGTTTATCAATATCTAAAGGGTGGGTGTCAAGGGGATGGGACCAGACTCTTCTCAGTGGTGGCCAGTGACAGGACAAGGGGTAAAGGTTTTGATTCATTTTTTGGTTTTTATTTGAAAAGCTTCTTCACTGTGAGGGTGCCGAAGCCCTTGGACAGGCTGCCCAGAGAGGTTGTGGAGTCTCCATCTCTGGAGATGTTTCAAACCCACCTGGACACTTTCCTGTGCAACCTGCTGTAGGGAACCTGCTTTGTCAGGGGGGTTGGACTGGATGATCTCCTGAGGTCCCTTCCAACCCCACCGTTGTGTGATTCCAGCTGATTTCCCTTGTGTCATGTGTTGGGTCATTGTGCTACCCGCTGTGGTGGGACAGCCAGGGATTCACTGGGCAACAGAAGCCAGAGAAGCAAAGTGGGTCTTAACACCCCATACCCCCCCTCAAGCATCCCCCCCCGTCCATCAGGCTCACTATTGAAGGTACAACCACCCACTTCCCATGGCATCAACCCCACAGAGGTCCTCTCCTCTGCTCCCCCACCTCTGCCTCGTGCTGCTTGACCAGACGCCGCGGTTTGGCTGTTGATTAACTCTCATATTTAGGCAAAAACCAGCCGGTGCTTCCTGCTCACGCTCGGCCCTTGCAGCAGCCCTGGTGCCACCCCACCGCCTGCGAGGAGCTCTCACAGACACCCCACGTGAGAAATATTTCCTTTGGTTGCCAAATTTTTGCTGCTCGGGGAATGGTTTTTTTTATTTTATTTTATTTTTTTTCCTCCTCCAGCAGCTTCGCTTCCCCCTCACCCACCCTTCAAAGCCCGATGGAGAACCTTAAAAATAGAAACCAACTGTGCAGTTCAAACTCATCCCATCAGCCTGATGCTGTTTTCAAATGCCACTCGGGCAAGTTGACTTTGCAAACGGGGCACGTGCCAGGCTGAAACCAGAGCAGACAAATGCCTTTAACAACACCGGTTTGCAACGTCCACCCAAAAAGGTTTGGAAGAGATTGGGACTCTGGCAGCTCTGCTTGCTGGGGATGGATTTTGGGAAGAGCCTAGTTCCCATCATATCTTGGATTTTGGGATGGAGCTGCAGTGCCCAGCCCAAGCTGAGATCCTGGGAGAAGATGAGGAAATCTGGGCTCTCCCTGCAACTCTTGTCTACTTTAGAAAGTAAGTAATGACTCTGAGAAACACCCAAACCCAGCAGACCATGCTGGAGGGTGAACTCAAGCAGTGGATCTGCTCTTCATGCAGCTGTGGAGGAGGAAGGAAAAGCTGTTGTGGTCAGCACTGGCTTGGCCCTTGTCCCCATGTCTCCATGTCCCCGTGTCACCCTCTCCACACCACCCAGCGTGGTGTTGCTGCAGCAGAGCAAACTGCTTTGAGGACATCTCATGGGGTTGATGGGGCTGGTGCAGGTAGGGGGGATGCCTGCAGCCCTGCCAGCCCCACTGCCTTCTTGGGGGACCCCTGCTCCCCACACCCCAGTCACCCCACTCACATTCTTCTCCTCCTGCTTAATTTTTAGCTCCATCTGGTGGCAGCCAGACCTACAAATTCAATATTTTGCTGGAATATCTTGCTGCACCAGCCCTGTGGTGCCTGCACCACGAGTGTCCCAGCCCTTTCTTGGCGTGTAGTAAATGGTTTCAGTCCTGTGGTCTCTTGTAGGAGGGGACCTGGGCTGAGCATATGTGTGACAAGACAAGAAGCCCAGAGCAGAGCAGCCCAGGGTCCTTGGGGCAAGCAAGAAAAGAGGTGGCAGAGGTACATAGTTTCATGCACACCTGGATGACCAGAGACATGAAAATGGTTATATCTGTGGTTGCAAGCGTGGGACTGGTTGCAAACCATTGCTTCCTGGGGAGGAGAGGAGCAGTGTGGTGAGGGCAAAGTGTCCAGTGATGTCCTGCAGGGACTCAGGGGGGTGGATGCACACGTGTTTATTGATAAATACACCGGACACACACTACAAGAAAAATCAAGCGGAGCCACAACTGAACACAAACTACAAACCTTCACGTTGGCGTGGGGAGTGGCAGGGACCTCCCACCCTACTGGCTGAATGAAGATGTAAACTCTGGGTGATGCCTTCACTACCATGGGGCTTTTCCAGACTGCTACACGGCCAAGTGCCAGCAATGAGTTCTCCACAACTTGTTGCCTTTTCCCTTGGTCGCCTCCCTGCATCCTGACCAAGAGGGACCATGGGTTGGTTTTGGGCGGGGGGAATGTACTTTCCTTGGAGGTCAGAGGGCAAACCAGAAGGAAGGAGCTGCTTGGCAAGAGCTGGCCTGGAGGGGCTTGTGTAGGAAGGATGGTGGGAAGGGGTCCCTCAGGAAAGAGAGCTGAGCAGTCGTCTGTAGATGAAGCCCAGCTTCTCCCGTAGGGCCAAGAAGGTGGGACGCTCCTCTGTGTTGCCATTCCAGCATTCCAGCATGATGCTGTAGATCTCAGGAGGACAGGAGCTGGGCCGGGGAAGGCGGTAGCCCCTGGTGATTTGTCGTACAGTTTCTTGGTTCGTCATTCCTGCAAGACAGGAGAAGATGTCCCTCAATCTAATACTCCCAAAGGATGCCCTGAAGATTCATCTGCAAAGGGCCAAGACGCCAACTGCTGCTGCTGTGAAATGGTGTCTGTCTGCCATGAGGCTGGTAGAGGAGAAGCTGTGGGAGATCATCCAGTCCATACCACCTTCCCACCTCCAACTCCTGCACCCCCATCTGCAAGCACCAAAAATCCCTCTAAACAATCCCCAAATTGGACAATAACTTGCTCATGCTCTTGGAGCTGCTCCAGATCCATTGTAGAAGGGACAATAGAACAATTCATGACATGTTGGCTTTTGGAGACCATTGGCAAGCTGCTTCAGATGTGGATGGAGCAGCATTGGAGGGGACTGGCAGCCCTACCTTCGTACGGGATCTGTCCATATGTGAAGACTTCATAGAGCAGAATCCCGTAGGACCAGACATCAGACTTGAGGGAGTAGGTACGGTAGTTGGCTGCCTCTGGGGCTGTCCACTTCACTGGGATTTTGGTGCTGCTGCTGGTGGAATAAATGTCATCCTGAAAAGCAAGGGGAGATGGGTCACAAAGGATGGCGTGGTGAACACAGCTGCTGCTTTTGGGGTTTTGCTGGGGCTGCAGCACGGAGCAGCTTGGTGGCCTGGGGTGATGGACAGGACCACAGCATCCTGTTGACCAACCTTGAGAAGACGGGCAAGTCCAAAATCAGCAATTTTGCAGGTGAGTTCCTCTCCTACCAGGATGTTTCTGGCTGCCAGGTCCCGGTGAACAATGTGCTTCTCCTCCAGGTACCTCATCCCATCCGCCACTTGGCAGGCAATGTTGAGCAGGTGGGAGGTGCCCAGGGACTTCCCTTCTGGACCTGTTAAACCAGACAATCCAAGCATTGGGGGCAATCTAGCAATGTCTATTTTGGGTGTTCTGGTTTGGAAAGAGACCCTGTGCCAGCAACATGAGACCAGGGGAACATGTAAAACCTCAAACTGGAGGTCCTGCCTAACCATCCTGGCTGTACCATGTGGGAAGTTCAGCACAGCCATGTGCTGCTCAGGAATGGGACTGGGGTGAGCTCTGAGGAGCACCCTATGCTGCAACACAGACACAGATGTTCATGGCCTGTTCAAACTAAAGGTGACTTTCTGCCATGCAAATCTCCAGCCAGGCCTCTCAACCTGTCCTACCTGCAAGCTCCAGCTCCTCCAGCACCAAATGCTTCTGGAGCTCCAGCCAAAAACAAGGTCAAGAGTGGGGGAGGAAGGGGATGTAGAAAAACAGGTCTTGGTGGGAGCTGTTTGTCTTGTTTCCCTTCAAGACTGATTACTGGGCCAGGAAAAGAAAGGCCAAGAAAAATAAACTGATGGTTGGGTGATGAGTGGACCATGGGCTGTTACTAGCTCTGTACATGAAGAAAACCATGCTGCCAGGCCAGGGGAAGATTTGGCCCATTCCATTCCTAACAAAAGGAGAGTTGCCCAAACACAGCAGAGGGGTTTCTGTGTGCTGGTGGGAGCTGGCAGACCTTAGGTGGGTGAAGAAAGAGGGATGAAGTTACCTACCAACACACTTGGGCTGGAATTTATATGGACCCAACCCACATGGACACCAAAAGGATCACACCAGACTGTGTCTTTGGGTCTTATGGTCACCCAACACCATCTCCACCAAGTGCCTGTGGATTGCTCTGCATTACCATTGATCTGAACAGGACCAAAACCAGGCTTGTGCTCTCTGAGGGTCCCCACCTGGGTTTGTAGGGCCATTCTGGGGCAGAGAAAGTGTTCACAGAGCAGCACAGCCCCAGGAGCCCACTCCCCATGCTGCCAGCGTGGGTACTCACTGTTGAGGTAGGTGTGGAGGTTGCCTTTCCGCATGAGCTCAGTGATGATGTACACAGGCTCATCCAGCGAGCAGACAGCATGCAGCTGGATCAGCTTCTCATGCCTCAGGCGCTTCAGGTTCTGAATCTCCTTGGTGAAGTCTTCTGTCTTCATGTCAGCTGGGGGAGAAAGCCAACAACATGGCTGTTGTGAGCTACTTTCTTACATGGACTTTGGGAGCTCAGCACTTCCAACTGGAATGAGGACATTTTTCCTCCTCACAGCCCACCCCTGCTCTCAAAGTTCATGTCTGCACACCCTGTGTCTCACATCCAAACACCCAAGAGATGTTTTTCGTGGGGCTTTGGATCCCATTTTCAGGATCATGGTCCTATCAGGACTCAATTACCACCAACCCCTTGGGCTTGACTTGCCTTGACTTATCACAAACCCATCTGACTTGACTTGACGTAGCTTATTACAAACCCACGGGATGGAGCCACTTTATAAAGGTGCATCCCAAGCTTAGGTGGGTCCACAGAAGTAGCCCAGTGGCTACTTGCCAGGTCCTACCACAGTTTGCTTGATAAAACAGACACAGTAACCAAGAGGACTAGGAGCCAAAAGTAGGTGAACAATGTGGCAGTGAACTAGAGACCTAGTTGGCCACTGTTAATGTCTGCTCTTCCACCTACCTTTTATGATCTTGATGGCCACCGGCACCGTGTTCCTCCACAGTCCTTCCCACACCTCTCCAAAGTAGCCCTCACCCAGCTTCCTCCGCAGGGTGAACTCCCAGCGTGGGCGCTCCCAGTTGTCCCTCTCAGGTGGGGTCTGTGAAATGGGCATTACATGCTTGGACCAGGCAGGACCTGCTGGTGGAGCCACACCAGCTCTTGGTGCTCACCAAGGCCTGGTGGCCATGGAGGAGTGAGAGCAGGACATGAAGCCCCACCACCCATGTTGCACCAGTGCTGCAGCCTGGGCACTGCTTTTCCCTCTGCTAGATGTTCACTGAGGATCCAAAGCGTGTGGGACATCCATGGTGTGACCTCTGCTGGCAGCCAACGTATGCACAGGGGGGGGGATTTTTGGAGACTACATGAAATATCAGGAATTCAAGTCATAATTTCCTCCTCATCAGACCTCAGAGGTGGCTTTTCTCCATTTCCATCCATAAATAAAACTTAGCAAATTAATATTATTGCATATTATGGCTGATTTTGACTTCAGCTCATGAAGCGTTTCTTTTATCTTAGACCTTTCGATTTCATTCTCAAATTAGTCACACGTTTAATTGTTATTTCGAAGTCGTAATCAGCGAATGGAATTCTAATCAGGAAATGAGTCAGCAATTTGCCATTAATACTCTAATTGGATTTCTGAATGCCACACTAATTGGCATGAAAATGATATAAAAGCAACGTGGTCTTATTATATTCCAAGAAGAAAATTGCAAGTGCAGGTATTGCCAGATTCAGTATCGAAGGGATCTGTAACAACATGATTTATGGGCTTTTGAGGGAGAAGACATTGAATGGTTTCAAACTGGAAGAGGGTGGGTTTAGATTGGACA